AAATTTTTTGTGTGTAGAAAGTTTTGTGTTAAATTTTTTACACAGTCGTGTGTTAATTTAACATATCGTTGTTGTACTACTTAGACTTTGTTGTGTTAAATTAAGATTAACTATTTTCAAATGTTAAAATAACCAAAGAAATTTCCAAAGAAAAGAAAGATTATGGTAATAAAACTTTATTTATTTTTATTTTTATTTTTATTTATTTATATTATATTATTTACATTATATTTCTACTTATTTTCATTATTATTTATTTTTTATTAATTTACTTTAACATTTCTTAAATTACTTAATATTTGCTTATATCTCGCATACCATATCTGCAGCTAAGTTAATCAATACATTACTGATTAAAATCACGATCGAAAATTAAACGGAGGCAAAATATGAAGATGATCAAATATTAATTAATTCCGAAACGAGATCTCCTTTAAAATTCACACGGGGCAAACGACAGCGAGTAATTACTTGTAACATTAAAGGAAGATAGTTTGTATACGGCAGTCTGTAAAACTATATAGCTTTACAACGTCATATCTGGGAATTCTCCAATGGTGCCTCTCAAGCTCGACACGAATTACAGGTGAAGCAGGGAAGCAGCAACGTAGGACCCGAAATTCCGATTCGGGGCTTTCACTTCATCGCACATTTACCTCTCTCGGATGGCGCACGCTGCCGCGATACTTCGTCGTTTATTTCACTCCCGTGTCTTAAGACCCGTTTTATTCGCTTATTGATTAAATTATTAACAACCTTCGGCGAAGTTCCCCGCTGGGCTAACCGGGCTGGCGCGGCTGCTAACTAGCACTTGTACTGTCTCGAGGCGCTCCCTCGCCTTATCCCGGAAGTTAACAACTATCGGCTTTGTAACCGTGCTTAAGTTAACGCGAGTTCCGCGCGCGCGTTGAATACTTGGCAAGTCCATTACAGTCGCATTAAGAATATGTACATATATCTATATATACGTACATGCCTAAATGCTCATCCGCCGCTGCCGTTCCTCCAGTTATACGCGAGGACATGCGATACGCGAGCGATTTCTTCGGAGTATGACACAGTCGAGACTGACAAAGCTAGGCGTCTCGATGCGCGATAGCTCGCTCGCGGTTATCGAGCCGTCTCAGAGCTGCTTTCGTCAACGTCGGTTAACTCCGAGAAATCGTGCTTTAACTGATTTCTCGTTTCTCCCGGCGCCGTGACGTCGAATGTACACGTCGAATATAAGCGTCGCTCGCAACCGGATATTTCGTGGTAACGAGAAAAATATCTGTACGTGGAGATAAATTGTCCCTTGCGCGTCGAGGAGACGAAGCGTTTCTTTTTTATTTTTTATAAGGGTTTTTTAAAAGACGCCAATGAGTCACGAGATTCGGTTCTCCGTTAGCTGCGAATTCAATTTCGTCCTCATGATATTTTCGCGACGCGTTTATTCAATCAGCTGCTCCGTGCCGAAATAAATCAGCAGCTGTGAAGTAAGTGAAAAATACACATTTTTACAGGAAATAATCATTTTCCACGAACTATAGTAGTAGAGTAAATTTTTTGCTCAAAATCAAGATTTGGGGGTTTTTTGGATCGGTGATTACGAATCTGAGGTCCAAATTCCAAAATTAATTTTCCAAGATGACGGATTCCAGATGGCAGATCATAGAATGTACATAAAATTAGCTAAAATTGTGCTCTGGTTAGTTTTTGAGCTCGCTGATTATGAATCTGAGGTCCAAATTCTAAAATTTATTTCCCAAGATGGCGGAAAATAAAATTTTTATATGATCAGCTGAAATTGTACTTTGGTAGCTTTCAAAGTCGCTGATTACAAATCCGAGATTTCAAACTCATTGTTTAAGATTGCAGATTCAAGTTGGTGGATCATGAAATTCTAATATATTTACCTGACATTGTCTTCCGGTTAGTTAATTTTTCATATTTGTGGCCGCCATCTTGAATTTTGAAAATCTGATAATGGATTCGTAATCAGCGACTCCAAAAACCCCACAGTACCCATTGTTACTGAAATTATCGCGATTTTTCATTTTTGCGTCCGCCATCTTGGATGCGGCATTTTGAATTTCGAAAATCTGATAACGGATTCGTCATCAGCGACTCCAGAAACCTCCGTATATAAATTTCATGTGATTCGGATTTTCTGAAAAATACATGCCTCAAAGGGTTAACAGGGACAATTTGAAGATTTCTCTCCGATTACTCTTCACTCTTCGATAATGAAGTGAAAGTAACCCGCGACGATAAGACAATACGGTCGTCTCCACAGACTGACAAACTTCCCGATCTCTCTCGCCTGACGGATTTGCGAGGCGATCGAGATGTCGATCAAGCGGACAGTCGGAGAAGCTTGCCGGGCTGATCAGCCCGTCGCGCGAGATTCGCATTTCCCTCCTTCGGCTGATATATAGTATCCTGTCGTGAATTTTCGTGGCCGGCTACGCGGAGTGCCTTTTACGCGAAGCGTTTATGCGACGTGCGTTCCGAGGATACGCCGGGGCTTTCCCCGCAAAGAGCTTTCGGCATCGCGCAAGGACTGCTACGAGTTTACCAAAGAGCTCTGCAGAGACATCCAGTTCGCTCGCGTATCCCCACGGTCTCTTTTCCTTCCGCGCCGCGCAGTTTTCAGCTTTTACCCTTTGGCTTTCTTTTTACGCGGTTTTTCCTTACGAAAAACGGTCAGCCGTATCGTTTCCGCCCGACATAGCGCCGTCTAAGGACACCGGGGAGCACTGGACGTTATTGCATGAGATATATAGTTACATATATGTACGTTCCGCGAGAGTACTTCCTTCGAGCAGTTATCGATATTCGATTGTGACCCTCTCTCAAGGCTTTGGTAGCCGTAAAAGCGTGTTCGAAGGAACGTGAGATAACGCGAACTGTAAAGCAAGCAAAAGGCCAAGGCACTTCCCTTATTTTTCTCTCGCAATAACTGATAGCGTCCGCGCAAACTACGACCCGTCGTATCCCGAGAGATACAATTGCGCCCCTGAAATTTCACTCGCAAACTGACCTGCAAACCCCCCAACGAAAAGTTCACTCTTTCTCTTTCTTCTCTTTTCTATTATTCTTTACCCTCCTCCCCCCTTCTTTCTTCTCTTCTACCGCTTTTATCTCTGTTATCGGGCGACGCGAGGGAGACATCGGGATGCTTCATGTTTATGTTTATTTTGTCTTATTTTTATTTATATGTGTATATTTATTTGTCTTCCCCTATATTCAATTGCCTTTTCTTCTTTTTATATTTTCTTTTAGTTTTAGTCTAGCGAAGTTACGTATCTCGATTATTAACTGTTAGATCTTAAATCTGATTGCTAAATATGGAGTTTTAGATGTTGGATCTCCGACTATTGGACTCTGATGCTGCGAAATTTGGTTCGCTTCTTGCACTGTTATTGAAAATAATACAATTCATGCATGTTTTTATAAGAATTTTTAAAGGATATGTCCCTGCATAAAAAATTCTCTCTTTCACTCTTTCTCTCTCTTTCTTTTTTTTCTCTTTAAAGATTTTTCTCATTTTCTTTCGCGGTCTTGGCATTGAAGATCATTTCTACCTATTCGCGCGATTTCTCTTCAACTTCGAACGCAGCGTGCGGCTCATGTCGCGGGGACCCGACTGTGCTTCTAGGATGATAAATCACGGAAGGAACCCATTGAGCCCTTTCATATATCGGCGCGCCTCGAACGCAGCTCCGTCTTCCTCCGTTCATCAGCGAAGTGACGTGGCCGTTGTGGCAGCTTTTTGCCGTTGTACAGAGCGTCTTGCAACCGCCAGATGTGCTCTTAACGGTAGATAGCGGGGCAGGAAGATTGAGAGGAATGATCGTTGTTTCAACACTCGGGCAATAACAGTCACGTAGTTATTTAATATCACGTCGCGAGAGCCAACAGGACTGTTGTGCGTTACATCTTGGAGACGCCTAAAGGCAGGCAACCCTTTTAGCCGAATATTCGACAAGCCTCATTCTCGCATTCTGGAAATTTTCAATCTGTTTCCAACTGCAGATCCGAATATTGGCGGAATCACTCTATCTTCTACCTGTGAATATATTCGTGAATATCCGTGAATAACGGACTTCTGTAGGTGAACATTTCTTGTGATCAGAGTTCCATTGAATTTTCTAATCTACGCCATTTATTGTAATTCATTGGATCACATAACCTTAAAAATAACAGTCGATACAACGAGCGACGAGAAACTTTATATTCGACGCTACATTTCGTTTTGCCAATACAAAAGACTGTCCGGAAACTATTCACGAATGTGAATAGTTATATCCAATAACTATAATTATAATTTTTCGACCCATGTTCATTAGGACTTTTTTCCTCCATTTTGTGAGTACTATCTGCCCTTAACATCCTGAAGCTGTATGCTTAATCGCTTAATATTCGCTATCCGAGGAGATATCTGGATATCTCGTGAATCATTTTTTCTTTTTGTCTGCCTGAATATATCGCACATGAAGAAAATATTGTAGTGGAATTTTTGTACTTTCGGAGCATATAGAAATTACTAGATATTTCTTTGAAAATATCATGCATGTTTTTGGTTTTTTATCACACAATATCGTAATTACTTGAACATCTTGTTTCAGTTTCAGTTTTTTGTTACTTACCATCTTTATAATAATTCGCACTGCAATATCGACCTAATCCATTTTTTCAAAAAATATTAATTAAGTTATTCGTATGAAAACAAATATAGCTTCAATATATTTTTACTACAATATTTTCCGCGCATATGCACGGATGTACGAATTTCGGGAAATAGCAACGGAATTAAAATTCACCATCCACCCCTAACATCAACATCCAACCGTTACCTTTCGATTAACCGCAACCTGAGCTTAACTCGCTGACGGTCGACGCAAATTCAACATTAGAAATAAAAGATGTCCGCCTTGTGTGCGTGACATAACTAAAGAAAGTCTGTCGGTTCCGCGTGAAATGCTATTCACGACATAATAAAGTCGCACAGAACTTACCTTTGAGAAACGATGGTGGTTGCGGGCTGACGTGGTCGCCGCCTTCGCCGCCGTCGTCGTCGCCTTGAAGCAAGTCGACATCGCGAGGATAACGGCGGACAGAGGGCGAAACGCAGAGGGATCGGGGAAGGGAGGCAGGAGATGACGGATAGGAGGGCGCTTCGGGGGGTCGGAAGCGGTAGGAAAAAGTGACGTTGGACGAGCAGCGAGTGCTCAGGGTGGTTAGGCGAGTTGGCGGATGACGAGGACGACGTCGGTGGCGTCGTGGGAGAAGGAAGCGCAAGGAGACGCGCTGTAGGAGAGCCCGAGGAGAGCGTGGAGGGCGAAGTCGCGGATGCAGGAACCTGTACGAGGTTAGGGAGGGGGCGTGGGTGAGGCTACAACAAAACAAAACACGATGAATGTCCCGATGTGCAAGCTGCAAGCAGAAGAAAACCAGGGGAAGATCGATGGTCAGTCCCCGGCCGGGGCTCGCCTGTCACCTCCGAGCCGATCGGCCGTGCGCTGAATTATCCTGACAAATGCGCGCCCACCCCGTCCACTTCCGCGGCCGCAGGATTTACGGTTCGGAGCTAATCGTTAAATATTTCAAAATCGCCCGGGCCGGAAGCCGCGAGTACGTCGTGCGCGCCGGAATTTGTTTATCGTTGTCGCGCTGCCGCCGCGCGTTTCGTTCTCCCGCGATAATCCGCGGCCGCGTCGCATTTGGGTTAATTGCGGCTCCATCCCCGATAGAGAAATCGACGCAGGTCACGCGACGCGTTTTCACGCGGAAGTGCAACTGTTGGCGCGCACCGGTAGGCGCGGCTCTTTCTTTGCGGCTTACTTCTTTGGCGCAGTCTATGGGCTATTCCGTAACTTTCAACGAGTGTCGTTACACCGTTACACTGTCGTTGCATGGGTATTATGGACGGAGGAGATGCGCGACACGACAATGTAACGATAACGATGTTGAAAGTTATGGAACGGGTTTGCCATCGTAGGCCACAACGTTTCTCTCCTCGCAGATGAGGGTATTTTTGTTCTACTTTCTAAACGATTATATGAAGTATTAATTTAATCTTTCACACACACACACACACACACACACACACACAGACACACACAGAATGCAAAGAAATATTTTTAGATATTTGGAAATAAATTTTTCAAAATATGAACAGAATGTCCCGTTTAGTGATAATTTTTTTTATTTGCCGTCACTTTGATATTTAACATCAGACGTCTATTTGCTATATCCGTGTATACATTATTCTATAATTTTTTGATATATCGGAGAAAAATATAAATAAATTATAAAAAAATATACTTAAGACTCTAAATGTTCCAATTTGCCAACAAAATCAACCTTGTGTACTCGGCTTAATACTTACATCATTAATTTAATAACTTATTTCTACGAGGTTCTTACTCGGTCGCTAATTGGGACATTTCTCTCAATAAAAATAAATCCAATAGAATAACTTCCACTGCGCGCGCGAAAGGTGATTCTCTCTGCGATCGACTAATTTGAGCGCCAAGTCAAGCTGATGGGTCGACTTACCTTGACAGTGCCGCTAGATGCGCTAGAAGCGGGCGAGCGTCACGTCCTCGGCGAACGAAGAGAACTTATCCATATCTTGAGTGTGAGCAGTGAAAGAAAATAGTCCTCCGTTAAATATCTCGCATGAGGGTGACAGGTCTGCCTCTCCGATGGGAAAGCGATCGATTCGGCGACGATAATTAGAGAAACCGACGCGGAACGTCGTTCGTCGCGGCCGATCGAAGACCGAGCATTTCCCCCGCGGTCGTGCTAATTTATACGACTCCCGGCGGAGCTGGGCGAAAAAATTCATGCGCTTGTGAAAGCACGAGCTTCTCACCCTCGTACTACGGCGACTGCCGATCCTACGGGCTCTTCAGGGCTCTTCACCGAGCCCGAGGAAGAGCGAACGCGAGGGCCATGATGTCGGGAAACGGTCACACTCTTCTATTCCTGTCACTCGTGAATCGGTCATTTCGGTTGCCTCTATCTCATCTAACGCGCATAAAGCTCTCGCACGGCTGCGCCGTGAGGTGGACGATTGCGAAAATAAGCGCCCTTAACGATTCTTTCATAGACAACCCACTTGCCACGGCGAAATCCCTCTTTCGTTTCCTTTCCCGGCGAGGCTCGTGTAACGTAACTCTATCTGCTTGAAAATTACATTGCCACGACGAAATGGCGTAGATCTCTGAGTTTTAGACAAAGAGAAAGGAACGGTGAAGGAAGAAGTAGAAGGAAAAAGAGGAAGAAGAGAAAAAGAAGAAGAAGAAGAAGAAGAAGAAGAAGAAGAAGAAGCGTGAAAAGTTCCGACAAGCGCCATTATCCGGATAATGTCGTTTAGATGACTCGCAGCTCGCGATATCTCCGCGGGCTCACCGCTAATCTCGTTTCGTTATATAAGCACGGTATTTGGATGTATATCATTCTCAGCGCTTGATTCGTTAAACGATCGCGCAACAGCGAGGAATTCGATGGGCGCCACTGTAGTTTCTGATTAGATGAACATTGCGCCGGAATTTCACTGATACGCCGCATTGTCCTGACGAGCCAATTACGCGGGGTTACGTAGCAACGATGTACTGACGCGAAATTTAACTGTCGGCCGAATGCGAAATGGAGAATTCTCCGTAGAGAACTTTAACATTCAATAAACTAGCGGATAATAGCGCCGATACCCGGTATTGTGCCGCTGCAGTCAGCTTGACCACTATTAGCGTCGTTTCGCGAATTTGCGCGCCGCCTCGGATTTACTGCATTAGAATTCATGTGTTTGGCCCGAAAACGGCAGGATCGTGCCGAGCGGCGCGTTTAGGTGTATTAGCACATACCGCCGTGGAAGGGCAATAACGCGCAACAAATTATTGCCCGACCGGACCCTCCCTCCTCCCTCCTGACTTTTTTTCCACGACTTCGCATAAGATGCAAGTTTGTGAGAGAGAGAAATACATTATTGAGGTTTTATGACTCTTATCTAATATACAAGATATTCCCCCCCCATATATATCAGAAAAAAGAGTTCAGAACTTTGAGGGCGGATGGTACTCACAAAATGGAGAGAAAAAGTCCTGATAAATGTGAGTCAAAAAATTAATATTGCCAAAGTTATAATTATTTATTTCAATTCGAGCAGGTGACTTACTCGCTTCTGGTGCTTTTGTATCCTCTGATATAATTTGTGTATGTAATTTATTGACGAAGTGAGTACCATACTTTCCCTAAAGGAATCCCTAAAAAATCCCTAAAAAATCTCTAAAAAATCTCTAAAAAAAGATCCCTTCGCTTTTACTCGGAATGTAAACGAACATCTGTTTTCTTTCCATTTATACACACACTTCACCAAGCAATTGTTAATCACATTGAACAGTGAACAGCGAACAGTTGCAAAAAGCTACTGCACTTTATGCACGACCGCGCACCAGAAGCGAGTAAGTGACTTGCTTTAATTAAAGTAAATTATTGTTCATAACTCCGACAATATTAATTTTTCGTCTTATATTTAGTAAGATTTTTTTCCTCCATTTTGTAAGTACCATCTGCTCTTAAAGTCCTGAATTCCTCTTTTTGTAACACTCTGTATATAGGTTGTTAAAAAAGGGCACTTGTAGAATAAATAGTACCATCGTGTTGACTAAGAGATGTTTAATAAACGTAAGTCGAGAAATCAACTCTTTCAGAGTTGTGTATGTTTCTCGGCTTTGGCAAATTTAACGAACGAGTATATTTTATAATATTACTTTATTATTTCTTGGGGTTTACGAAGGGAGTTCTACATATCCTCTTTCAGTTTCTACACACGCTCGACAACTTTGTTTTACAGAATTGTAAATTCTTTCGGAAATTCTAGATATTCCTCCAAGCGGTTGAGTTGCGTTCTTGTATATTATCTCTCGTTAAAGGACATACAAAATTTTTAATAATGCTAATAATGTTAAATTTACATGTGTCTGCATATGTTAAACATTTTTTGTAAATATCAAAGTATAACAAGACACTCGTTCGTTAAATTTGTGTTACCGAAATCGAAAAAAATGTTTGTAATTCTAATCTGAATGTTTGATTTTTCGATCTGTATTTACTAATCAGTTTTTGTTGAATATAATGCGTACTATTTATTCTGTAAGTCTTGAACTCTTTTCTCAACACGCTTGTATTTCCAAGTTTAGATAGCTGGTCCATAAATCCATTTTCTTGGGAATCTTTTGAAATCTTGTGAAATTTTCACAACTTATTAAGTTGAAAATATAACGCTACAATCTGCATGTTTGATAGTATATATGACATTTGTTCATAAATGTGTAATGTAAGTAACCTTAGCCATACCTTAAAACCCGCGAGAATAACACGAGAGGAACGATTGCTTTTTTTATGAGCGTCGAAATATCTTGTAAATTCGATCAATATTCTCTTCGAGCGTCAGAGTTATATGTCGTAAAAATATCATAGTCGTGTATTGTCTTTACATACATTTAATGTAGATTTAGCTTTTTTATGCAGTTATCAGCTTTTTCCAACAGTATTCTTATCCAATTTGATTACGGACTAAGCTCAGCTTTATGGCTTTTTTACAAAAGACGGGACGATCATCGGAAGCTCTTTTTCTGCACCGCGAGACGTATCGGGACAACACCTGTTTCTGCTCGCGGAATCGACTCTGCTCGTGAAGTTTGTCGATCCCAATGGACGCACATGCGTAAACGACGATTCGGCAGCACAGCAGGGGATGATCGCCGGGCGAACATTTTATTTCCCCCGGCCGTGCGACGAAGCTCGTGCGCGGCGGCGGCGCTGCGTTACCTTCGAAACACTCCCCTATGTAAATTACCGCCGATACGAGCGCTTCTTTTTGTTTTATATTCTCTATCCCCTCGTTGTTATCGGAAACCATTGAATTCATGATCGTTTCGCGGGCGGGGAGAGGGAGGGCTAGAGGGAGGGCACGAGCGCGCCCTCGAATGAATAAAAGAGGCAATCGCGCCGGGGCGCGATGTAAATTCATTACACGTGTACGTCGGGCATTCGTCCACGTACTTGTTTGCAGAGTCTAATCAAATATTGTCGAGCGCTCATTCGCGCCATTTTTATAAAAGCTCTTCCGTCGTCGTTGATGGTCCGCTCATGGAAAGCGCGCGTAGACGCGCTCCTTCGTGCGTCTCGCAGCTCCTTCCCAGCGGCCATTGAAACGCCGCTCTCGCCCCGCGGCATGTAAAATCGAAGAATTCTCTCGAAAATGGTAGTCACAATCTGCGCGATTAGTCGCGATCGTGTCTGTCTATCGAAATCGTCGCGGACCCATCTGCAAGCCTATTCCGTAATTTTTCATCGACAGTGTCGTCATCGTCGCGCAGGTATAAAACGCAGGAAAGCTGCGCAATATAACGATAATGACGCTGTTGTTGAAAATCGCAGAATAGACCTACACATTTGTTTGCCTAATATTTTTTGAAATATTTTTATTTAAGGAAAACTTGGTAACTTTTCCAATCTTTAACTTACGATATCTAACTATTGGAAATGTCGAGGAAGGTCAACGGTCACTTTTTAATTTTAAACGTATCTTTGTAACCGATGACGTGAGGTAAAATTTCCATTAATCCTTGCATTGTAATAGATCTCGCGTTTTTACAATCCGCAAAAATCGCAAAAGTCTCTCAAAAAGCCGCGTGGACCGTAAAAGCTCAAGTAAAGTCTAATTAAGGTTGATCGAGGATGATCATTCTCTTGTCTATTTAGTCGTTCAAAGTGTAGTTTGCGAAAAACCGCGCTCCTCTGACCCTTTGCCCGCATCTCTGAAACCATCGACTGCCGACGTTGCCGCCGTGGAAAAGCCAACACTAAATTGTTCACAGAGAATCCTCCCCAGGGTGAAGTTAAACTCTTCGTACCTGAGTCGCCCTATGTATCCACTTCATCCGAGTGCTGCAAGTGTTACCGACAAAGACGATATAACCCGAGACAGGACGTCTATCTGTGTCTCTTCGGAAGTCCATCTCTAAATATTACAGAGTCGCGTACACGCAGAAAACTATTCAGTTGATGTAATTAAATTTCAGTTACGACAACACCGAAACACGACTCCGCGCCTCAGGAATTAACTGAAAATTCGGTTGCGACACGAGAGAAATTCCCTTAGCAGGTCTCTGTTGTCTCAGAAATACACTCGGTCATCTGAACCGAGCATTAATGTTATCAAGGACCGTTATCAACTATACCGCTGTGGTACTTTCGAGACGGAAAATTTTAATTCCCCCAATCGAAAGTTGTTGATATGGTTCTTCGATTTGCGAAACAGAATTTTCGATCAGCGCAACCGAGCCTCACGTAACAGAAAACTTCCTATTGTCACTACAGAATATCTTTCTGCATGTGTATGAGCGTATAGAGCTCACGGCCGCGTCAACCGGCCGGTCTCCTCGCAGTTGACACTGCGTTAGGGTCGTTGCGTGTGATCAGGCACGATAAACTTCGCAGTGTTGCCGGCCGGCGTCGGCCGAGCAAAAAGGATCGCCGCAATTCTGGCGAAGGTGGAATCCTAGGCGCGCCGTGCGTAGGCTCGGCGATTCTCTCTCTCTCTCTCTCTCTCTCTCTCTCTCTCT